CTCTCTCTCTCTCTCTCTCTCTCTCTCTCTCTCACACACACACACACACACACACACACACACACACACACATCATGCCACATAGTGCAGGGAGTTCAACCCCTTGTTGCAATCTCACAGGCAAAATAATCCATCAACATTTGCGCACTGAGCTCTTAGACTCAAGGGAGGAAAGAGAACAGAGCGGTCAGAAGATGGTAAGGTGAGCCAGGCAGCGAATCTCCCAGCTCTCCTGGGTCATCCAGCCCACCACTACCTGGTCTTTCATCTCGGCCTTCCAATTGGCCAGAAACCTAGGTGAGAGGCCGCGTGGCCAAACTCTGATTAACCCAGGCCTCAAAACGTTTGGCCTAGGTCCTTATCCCAAGCCCAGACCCTCCCCTGCTGTCTCAGCACAGGGCCCAGATCAAAAAGTGCGCCTGGCACAGAACAGACAGACATAGGCCCAGCCACAAACAGACAACCTGGGCCAAAATGTGAAACCGTATACGCCAGAGAACCATACAGGACCGACCTGCACCAGTTCAGACAGAAGTCCTGACAACACAATCTATGCACCCCGCTGGACCTCATAATGGTCCTCACAGATTGAAAACGTTTGGTCAGCACGCATGTCTTTCGATCCCAAGACAGCCCGATATACATTCGGAATGTTGTGCAGTGGTGCAAGGCCCTATACCAGGAAAAAAAAACAAAGTGCCGCAGAGAAAGAGTACCGTACTCTAACACCAACAAAACACGCGCCAATCGAAAACAGATCAAACAGAACTAAACTCAACTGAGAACAGACAAAACATACACACCCCTAGACTCAGAACAGAAAATGCTCGCGCCTCTCTAGGAACTCACCCACCTAGGGCCTCATGATCTCTGAGGCCCTCTCCACGGGTCAAAGCCCATACCAAGGGTCTCCGCGGCCGAGGGACCTGCCGAAGAGATGTCCCAGCCCCCGGTCCGATGTGGGAGGTTCCTGTATGCCATAGTGATGCTGGGAACACAGGGACAGTAGCTGCACATGCAGCATGCAATACTAACTACAGTAGTCAGGCATATCCAGCTGATTCATGTTCACACACATGCTCATTCCATGTACTGAGGAACAGCCTCGAGTTCCTCAACAGAATAATCAAGTGCCTCAATATGTTAATTGCACAACACGGAGTCTCGGACCACATTTCAGAGCAGGTTTCTGTGCCACAGCTACTCTACATGCAGACAGCACTGCCTAAACATGGGGGTTTATGTCAGCCAGGCAAGACGCAGGAAGAGCACCACGCTCGTAAACCAGGCACACACACACACACACACAAGCTAACATTCATTCCAAGCTAACATTCATTCCCCATCTCCACCACGCTCATAATCCAAGGGAGCAATCACCTTTCTTCAATTCACATTCACCAGAGATACCACATTTCAACTGCAACTAGATGACCTGTGGGAGGTTTACCCACAAGAAACAAAGAAAACGGAAATTTTGCATGGCAACCAGCCGGACGTCTGGACTGGAATCCAGACGGTCCGGTTGTCTGGGTATGGGTCCGGTGTCTGGTCCGGTAGGTCTGGATCGGGCCCAATTTTTTTTGGGGAGGGCTAGGACGTTTTCCAGGTCCTAAGCCGCCCCCCAAAAATGCCCCCGGTATTTTTTGGCCGTTTCAGGGCCTACTGGACGCCGCCAGACGATTCCAACAGCTCCCTCTGCTGTTGTACTAAGCTGGTAGTTCATCGGATGAGGATGAGACTGATTCCAAAAATGAAGCACTGGCTGCAAAGCGCCACAGAACATCAAGTTAGAGAGAGAGAGAGAGAGAGAGAGACAGAGAGAGAGAGAGAGAGAGAGAGAGAGAGAGAGAGAGAGAGAGAGAGAGAGAGAGAGAGAGAGAGAG